CCAGGATGTCGCATTGGTTGTAGCTTCTTTGGATTAGGCTCTCTTAAAAGGTACGCAGCATAAATGACCACGGAGACAGGGTAAGCAACCTCATAGAAGAGGCTGTCGATTCCTATTAGCGCTCCTGGCGGCGTATCTTCGTTCAAGATGAACAAGGATTKCTTACCGCTGGCCTTTATTGGTCTACGTCCTTTTTCGATGTGCCATTCTCCGTCAGAATACTTTATGAAAGTTAACTCCAAACGATAGTCGCCTTCCGGCATAAGGTTTAGAATATGTTCTGCTCTTTCTTCGTCCATTATGTATTCTAATTCGCCTTCTGCGTAAGTCGTAAAGGCGAAATCACAATCTAGATTGTTTAAAACGCGCGTCCTGAGACGCCTAACAGTTTTATTCTTGATCTTTGGAATGTTGTCCATTATATCTAAGGTGTTATTTAGGCACTGTTTGGATCCCTTTTCTCTCCTCTTTTAGTTAGTTTTTAACATCCTTTTTCTCTCCTCTCTTAGTTAGTTTTAGCATCCTTTTTCTCTCCTCTTTTAGTTAGTTTTCGTCTATATACTAGTGTATCAAAAGCACTGTTAACATCCTTTTTCTCTCCTCAAATCGTTAGTTTTTTAGTTAGTTTTCGTCTATATACTAGTGTATCAAAAGCACTGTTAGAAGTATTTTTTAAATATTACTAATTTCAGCAGCAGTAAGTGTAAGTGCGCTATTGCACGTCAATTTCGGGAAATTTGGAAATTAATGAGAAATTGTTAAAATGCGGACGCGGAAATTGTTAAAATGCGGACGCGTTCGGAATTCCGTGGGTTAAACCCGCAAATATACGACGTCAATCGCGAGTCACACTTACTGCTGCTCTGGCATATACAATAGCCAAGCATATATGCAACTGAAATGCAAAAACAACTTTTTGTGCAAGGAGTATGTACCTTCTCGTTTGCGCTATAAACAAGAGCCTACAAGCCAAGCTAACCGAATTTTCAAATTATTATTATTTTTTGAATATTGAAGATTCGTTTTCATTAATGAATGTTCGAATCGAATAATGAAATCAAGAATCCAAAAATAAAGTCATTAATGACCCCTACGTGTTCACGCTTGAGGTAGTTTGACTGTAAAATCCTGAGAAAATTTTCGATCATGTAGGTGAAAGCAAAGAATAACTTGGATTTAAAAAAAAGCAAAAAACAAAAATCAGAGATTGAATAATAAAAATAATAAAATAAATCTGTAAGATCGGATAGACATATAGCAAGCGCGTTTAAAATTTACAAGACATGAACGCGTATCACTAATTTAAAAACATATTATTTCAATCGAAATTCCCTATTAATGCGAGACAAAAATTTTGTTGTTTGGGGTTAGACCATGAAAGGTTATGCACAGTTCATGATGGAGAGCACTTATTCTGACCTCACTTCGATCACATAGAACAGACATTGTATATTGCTTATCAAAAATAACTTCGTTGTTTCGACTCTTTGGCTGCACTTTGAACGCCAGTGGTGTACGAAAGAGTTTCATGGCTAACTGATCATCATGCTCAGTTGGACATTCCACTCCAAGCGCTAAACATTCAACTATTTTTGAAGCTGAAAGTGTCGATAGTCTATTGAAGTTAAGCCTGTTTATCTGATGAGTGCAGTTCAGGATTTGTCTTTTTTGGCGTACACTCACGATTTAAGCTTTGTTTTCTTCCCTAAATGTCGTGCAATTGCCGACAAACTTTTAGTATAAATGAGAAGTCTATAATTGCATCACTTGGCAGGACTTAGAGTCATGTTTAGATTTACTGCTTATTATGTTTGGGCAATTGGGTTCCCTGTGGCTCAGAGCTGTCGCAAAGCTTGCATTAATACGACTTGTATTTCATTTCTTGAAATCAATGTACTGTTTCTTTCTTCAGGTTGCCAGCAAATAAGTTTTCCTACCCACTTAAAAAATAAAATGGCAGCAATGTTACGAGCTCCCTTCCGCGTGACAGCTTTGTCTCACTGCAAGGACCTGTTATCAATAAACTGGCAACGTTAAGCAGAGCAATTTCCCAAATATCTGGCTTCGAAGTACTGTGCACGACCCCATCATATTCAATGCTGGCTCCTTGATTTATAAACGACATGAGTACATTGACTTTATCCGTAAAGAATCCCCTTTGGTTCGTGCAGAATATGAGAAGGGAAGCGAGGATATTCTTGTTCAATGGGGAGACCATCTTGGTACTTTCAACGCTTCTTGGCTTCGTGCTCTAGACCGCAATATCAATAAAGATCTGTGCAAGAAGCCTGACATCACTCTTTGGGATGCCAACTCCAAGTTTTCCATTTACAAGTATTCGGAGAGGAAGGAAACGTTCCGCACTTGGTTTAACGACTTGTGAGGAAATACGGCTTGGCAATTTTCGAGGGAGTGCCTCCGAACGAGGAAGGCCTCATGGGCATCATGCACTCTATTGGTCAAAAAGCCGAGCGTAACCATTCTACAAACGTTCAACATATTTTACACGATAGCAAGATAGAAGATTGATAGATAGATTGATTGATTGATTGAGGAAATACGCCGAGAAGAATCCGAGGCATACGAGCTGCTTCGTACGATCCCGGTGCGTCTGGCCAGGAGACGATTGACTGTTACTGAGAAGTGTAAAAACCCTGAAGATCACTGCCTGTATCAGCTAGACGCCTTGATGGCTTGGTCGGTCTGTACGGGACAATCTTGACCTCGGTCGGGTACCGACCTCGCTGCGCTCGGTCTGTACATTCCGACCTCGGTCAAGATTATCCCGTACAGACCTCCCGCTCGGTTAATAAGATCTAAATATTGATTGCAATTCACGTAGTTATGACGTAACACCTGTTTTAAAAATTTGAAAACAATCTATATAAAGTGAAAAAGATAACTTCGTAGAGAGTTATTAGCCTGTGTTGCATCTGGCCTTTTCTACGAAGAAAATTCCGGCGATAGTTTTACCAGCTCGGGATCCCTGTGGATTGAGATCCATTCGGAAATAAGACTGTAGAATTTCTTTTCCGGCACGTGATAATAATTACTCATTAAAATTAATGAAGTAATTTCGACCAATCAAATGGCTAGGATTCGCCAAATGTTTTGCTTGGCTCCAAATAGCGACAAAAAAGTTCGGGAAATCAACTGAATTTCTTGAGATCAGCCGAAAAAAGCTCCTAAAAATGCATCTTTTTTTACAGAAAACACTAAGATATCAACCTCATTCTCTTCTCTAAGGTCCTTTATTGTATCTGGCGGATAATGAAGCCGTTGGAAGGTAAATCAGTATTTTTTTGAATATTTTTTGTACTAAGATCTTGAGTTGAATATTGAAAACATAAGGGCAAGTTGTTTTTATTGAGATATTTTACTCTTTTTCTTTAATTATTTTCCTCTGTTTTACTTATAATTTAAAAGCATAAGTTCTAGATTATCATTTATCAAATAGATACTAAAGATTTTACCATTTAACGAAGGATTTTGTTTTCAAATTTCGAGAGAGAAAACCTAAATTCTTTGAATTTAAATCTCAATTTGTGTTTACTCTCAAGTGAAATATCTCTTGAGCTTGTCCCTAATTTATCTTTCTTTTTTTAAAGATCGAATCTTGTATTTATGGTATTGTGAATAAAGGGTTTTAGGAGTTTTAAAGCTCATATATAATGTAAGATACCAAGCTAATGGCATGCATAATGGCGACTTGAATAGAAACTAGTTGACTAAACATGTCGGTGGAATTTCTTTCCTTTTCTTTGCCTTTAAGCCATCTTTTTTATCTAAATAACTTCTCTTTGTAGTAAATAATTGTTCAACGATGACATATAACTCTAAATTTGGTTTTAAGAGTCAATAATTCTCTGTAAATTCTTTATCAATTCGTGACTTGACTAAGTATATGAAAACCTGACATTTGTAATCATGGCCAAAGAGATTACCAAGAATATAATTTTTTTTTGAGACGAATGGAAATAACTCTTTAAGAAAATGAAGCTAAGGTAAATCAGTGGCAAATATATAGCTTAAAATTGCTGTTTTTGAGGGAAATTTTGAATTCTGTTGAAGTAGTATCGAGAACCATTATGTGTGCCAAAAAATTACCTTTTGTTGTATGTGTGGACTTTGAGCTTTTTATTTGCGCGAAATATTCATAATAAATGTCTCTTGATATTTCTTGTTTTTAACGTTTTACAAAGACTTTGTGATTAAGAAGATTAAGTAGAGAATATTAGGATTTGAATTTAGAATGTTTGTGAATGTTTGAGTTTGTACGTCAGATATTAAAGTGTCATGGTTAAATTTAACGTGCACATAAAGCATGCAGGTTGTCACGGTGGGGTAGTCGCAAATATTTAACTTCCATGTTGGAAACATGATTTTATTCAATAAGATTGACACAAAACATGTGAATATCCATCTTTAAATTTAACATTTAATCATGAGTATTAAGGCAATAATTGTTATTATAACTTGGTATTAAATGATAATATTATTTTTAATTTTCTCACTGGACTCTGAAGATGACTTCCGCTCAGGTTGTCGAAACGTCAGTCACCACACTACAACAACAGTCTTTCTCAAGACTACACTTACCTGGATTATCACATTTCACGACAAACTCCAACACCTGGGATCAAACCATTTACTCTGATAATAATTTACTAACTACTTTAACTACCATCAGAGTGAAGGCATTTAATGTGTGAAAAAAAATGCGTAATAGTCAAATAGACACAAAAGAATGTTGGTTCTTTCCTGTGATTCGAGGGTTTTTCTTCGAGTTCTCCGGTTTTCCTCCCTCCTCAAAAACCAACTTCTAAATTCTAATTGGATCTTTGGGCTTTCACTTAGTTTGGAGCCTAGCTCTGTTGTGATTGTCCCACGCTGTGATATAACATCTAAAGCTAGTAGATTTTTAGATTCACACATCATATACATAATTTTGAGGCTCATTAACAAATCACAATTTTTACCTGAATTTTAAGCTTTCACAAAATCGAATTAGTCATCCACGAGTCAGGCACAATTTAAGAGAAGAATATTGCATCACAGCAAACCTGGAATTCATGAATCACACTCTACATTTTTACTATTTTCACGTACAGTATCACACACTTATTTTAGCCCAAATGACACTCACATATACTGTAACCCCTGTGCATCCATATCACTTGTGATGCCAAGTCTTGGGGTTGATCCCGAGATGCCAGGGTAATAGCGCAGCGCACTGATTCTAAAAATAGCTTAAAGATTCGGACAAACATTGCATTCTGATTAACCGCTACGAGGATTATACGAACTGATTTTATTATTTTTACTTGAAGTTACAATAATAACCCATGTAAACTAAGATCAACTGCGATCGGCTGTGAAAATTATCTGCTGAAAGTAAACTTGTAAGTTTGTTTGTCCGAATTTCCCCTTTGTCTTCGTCTGCGCTATTAAAAAGCCTACCGGAGTGGAGTACACTACCTCTGCACAACCCTTGGTTCCCAAATTCTACATTCTCCATGGCCACTCATCTTATACTACGTACGATTATCTTTTTATTTTCATAACAGTCCAGACAGCAGATGTAGAAGAAATGGAGTGTGAGTTACATTCAAAGGAGTTCTTTGTTCATGTCGGTATGCTTGTCCTGGAGGGCCGCATGCCACAGCAGTCTGACAGAGGACGGATAGAAGGGCATCATTGCGGCACTTCTAAGGGGAAGGTGTGTCACACCTGTGATGACAAGAATGAAGAGGTAATGATGATATCTATAGTGATGATGGTGATGGTGATGGTGATGATACATGATGATGATGATACATGATGCAGGGTTTGTGCTACTCCTTGAAATCCTTGAAAAGTCCTTGAATTGAAAACACGTTTTTAAGGGCGCTTGAAAAGCCCTTGAAAATAGGGAAAAATGCCAAAACTCCTGGAATACTCCTTGAATTTAGTACAAACTTAATGTTATTTCTAACTTACCTTTTGAAATAAATAACGATTAAAATTGATTGAAGAGTTTCTGGTTGCCTGTTTACTGGTTGGTTGCGTGTCATGCTCATTTTTTATCTTAGCTAGTGGCCCCGGCTGAATTAGCTGCACTTCAACATTGAATCAGTGTTTAAAACCACATTCTAATACAAAAAACTTTGTCCTTGAAAATCGAATTCTTGTGCTTGAAAAGTGCTTAAAAAGTTCTAGAATTTTGTAACGAGAATGTAGCACGAACCCTGATGTTGATACATGATGATGATGTCAGATGATACATGATGATGATGGCAGTGATACATGGTGATGATGATGATGATGATTGTGATACATGATGATGATACATGATGATGATACATGATGTTGATACATGATGATGATGTCAGATGATACATGACGATGATGGCAGTGATACATGGTGATGATGATGATGATGATTGTGATACCTGATAAAGGTTTTGCCCTATCACGTGACAGCAACCACGCTACATACATGACAGAAATAATGCAATCATTTTAAACAAGAAAGAATCCAATAGTCCCCTTTGTGGTGCCATCTCGAAAGGTAGCCGTGTCTTTGCATCGAAACGAGAGGAATGGTGAGCTTGCATTGATAGAGACCTTTTTTAACACCTTGGACAATTATTCGTATGTCTCTATCATTGCAAGCTCACTGTTCATCTCGCTTCGATTCAAAGGCACGGCTACCTTTCAAGATGGCTCCGAGAACTGTGAAGGGGACTATTCCGAAGAGCAAAGGGACATCATTGTTCTGCCATCTAACCACAGGCAGCCAAAGCTGTAATACAGGCACCAGCAAATGAGGGTGCAAAATCCATATATTGATGATAATGAACATAATGATGATAATAATGATGAATTTGTCTTATATTTTCAAGTGTAAAGAAGCCCGAACATGGACACAAATCATGGAGGCTCACTGGCAAAGCACTCATCCCCTGGTGATAGATGTTCTTGTGAAACTAAATGAACAGACTGATCATCTTCTACTTCTTGAACAATGGACTGTGAAAATAGTTTGTAGGTTAGTAAGTTAATGATTAGTTTATTATATTTGTACCATGGCTGAAAAGCATTTCTAGTAGAGAAAGAAATAATACTCAAGGGAATGACACATGGTCTGAAATGAGAAAACATTGCACCATAGCTGAAA